GACAAAGGGGAGATATATGGATGCAGTTAGAGAGGACATGGAGGTAGATGGAGTGACGACAGAGGATGCAGAGGACAGAGTGAGATGGGGGAGGATGACCCTGTAGAGACCCATGAAAAAGAAAAAACTTGAAAAAGGAATATAACATTTTTGGCCAAAAAAAAAAAGAGGCTTCATTAAGACCTATTTTTCCATCCTTCCATCTGAAATATAATTTTATCAGATAATATATTAACTTAATGAAATGTCTAGATATATGTATCCTGTTTTGATATTTAGAATGATATTGTGTCTGGTTCAGTTTCCGGTAGAAAATGTAGTTTTAGCTACATGCCTACAACTCCCAACATTCACACACCCACCCATTATAGAACACAAGATGGCGAGATATTATTGGTTGAGAGCTGGATCACATGATAAGAGTAGGACTTCCCATTCGTTGATGGTGATGATGACTCCAGGAGGTGTGGCTGAGCTCTGAAGAAGATGGGTTGTCTGTTTACGTTCTGGGCCATTGTTCGTGACTGCATGGTGGAGATACAATGGCCCAGGGCTGGTGATCTTGTACTTTACATGTAAAATAAACCTTCTGAAATGGAAGACAATTGCTCCTCCTCTCCCTGCTCCAGATCAGAACACATTCTTTCACATCCATTATCTTTACCCGTTTATTCCATTTTGGGTCACGGGGGTCGCTGGTGCCCATGTCCAGCAATCACTGTGCGAGGGGCGGGGTACACCCTGGACGGGTCTCCAGTCCATCACAGGGCCACATAGAGACAAACAAGACAAACAACCATTCACTCTCTCACTCACACCTAGAGACAATTTAGAGTTACCAATCAGCCTAACATGCATGTTTTTGGTCTGTGGGAGGAAACCGGAGTACCCGGAGAAAACCCACGCATGCACGGAGAGAACATGCAAACTCCACCCAGAAAGGCCCCTGGACCGGGGTTTTGAACCAAGGACCTGCTCGCTGAGAGGCAGCAGCTCTACCAGTTGCACCACCGTGCTGCCCCAAGACCTATTTTTGTCTCATCAAATTTCAAGTCTGTTGTATAGAAGGTTCAGAGTTCTGGGGATGAGATTTGCCAGGACTGACATGTGTCAAATGGCACTGACCCTTGAAATAACTGTTTGCAGTTGTAGTTGTCTTTGCCGCTTGTGTTCTATTTAAACAATACACTGATTAATTTTTAAAAGAGCTATGTATAATGATGTCATGAAGAGCTAATCCTAATGCTGGCTTCCCTCTTATACCAACCTAATTTAATAGTTTTCAACAACAAAATTTTTTTTTAAGAAAAGTTATTGAGTTAGCAATGAATCACATAGTTTATTTTAAAATTAACACAATTACAATTTGACCTTTTACCCCAATATAGTATAATATAGTTGTAATAGATGATGACAATAATTCTTTGTTTTTGAAATTTACCGGTAATCAATGACATACAATAAAATGCTATTGTGGAATAACTTACGTTACTTTTACTGCACCATTTGGACACAGAGCCCATGTAACCTGAGTGAAAAACAAAAACACTTCATTAATGGCAGTGAACATCACAATCAAGCTAAAATGATTGTTTTCACAGCCATGGTTCTCAAACTGTGGTACAAGTACCACTAGAATGGTACTTGTAAAAAAATGTTGTTGAGTATTTACAAGGTACCAAGATAATTTACCAGCAAAAGTTGAAGTGTTATTTAAAGCTAAAAAGTAAAAGTAGCCAAAATAGATGAATAGTTCAGCAAATTATAATCTGTCTCCTCATGAAAAACTACTTATAACAAAAACCCTGTGGATAATATTTAAAAAAAAACACTGTGGAAACTAGGGAATAATGGTGCAGTTACCAGCAAAATCTTTAAAAGACCTGGAGGAAAAGGTGCTAAAAAGTAAGGAAATTTGAACCAAGTTATTGCTAGAGAGTGTACAGTTGTAGTAAAATGAACCAAAATACCAGTCCAAAACACACATGTTAGACTGTCTTCAGGCCCAGACCTCCCTTGCAATATAGATCTGTGATCTCAATGGAATTTGCCTGCTTAAATAAAGGGTAATAATAATAATATTAGACTCAGTACCTGTACAAAAGTTTGAGAACCACTGGTCATGCTTTAAAAAATGGGACATACTTGAACCACGTTGATGATATGGTAGGGCAGCCAGAATAAGCAGAAGGTCAACACAATGGCAAGAATGAGCTTTTCAGTGCGAATAGTACGTTGGAATTTGGTCTGACGAATTCGTTGTAAAATGCAAATGTAGCAGACTACAATGACCCCATAAGGTAATATAAATCCTAAAACAAGCTCCAGCGTGTACTGCAGAACCACCTGATGAGATAAGCATTGTAAAGAACATGGGAAACATGAGCTCACTTCATTATTTATACTGTTGATAAACTGGGATTAATCATCCTTACTTACGTGGCTGTCTTTTTCATGGTGCGAGTCACACGACAAGCCTGGAGATGTCTTTTTACAAGATACTTCACGGAAAATAAGTGCAGGAATAGAGGCAATCACCACCAGTGCCCATACCACTGCCAGGATACGCATAAGTGTCCTTTTGCCAGTGATCACACTAATCCGCCGTGGCCAAATCACCGACACCATTCGATAAATACTCATTAGCATGATGAGGTGAATAGAGGCATACATGTTGACCAAACAGAGGTAGAAGAGGATCTTACACATCACATTCCCAATCACCCACTTCTTCAGAATCAGGTAGACAATGAAGAACGGGGTGAGAGCCATCAGAGAACCATCTGCAATGGCTAGGTTGAGGATAAGTATGGTAGTAACGGATTGTTTTCGGGCTCTTGCAAGGATGCTCCAAATGACGAAGAGGTTTCCAGGGAACCCCAACAAAAAGACCATGGTGAGGATGAGGCCACCCAGGGTTGCGGCAGTTTCATTCCCCACACTAGTTTCACTTGTGGCGTTTATAGAAGAACAGTTTTTTGGAATCATGTTGATACCTGCCAAAGAGAGAGCATCGATAAAAATAATTGTGATGGGTTTCACACAATGCATTTTTAGTCTACGATACAGACTTCAAAGCTACAAGTTTAACACTGAAACTCAGCTTTCATCACTTTCAATGGAAACCAAAACTTTCTGAGATTCCCAGACAGATAAAATGATTGTTTTGCCTGGTGTGACTGAAATTATGACAAATATTAATCTTGTGCATTAAAACGTGGGCGTGTAGAGAAAGTGTAACAAGCTTTAACAGGAACTTCTAATTCCTGAATGGGACTAGACATGAATGGAAAGCAACTGTTGACTTAAAGCTTTGAGCAATGATTAGGATAGCATTTTAATTGTTTTACATGCTCTTTGTACTCAATGAAATTTGAATTTCAGCAAGAGTTATAAATATGTTTGTTGCTGTTGTTAAAGCCTATAAATCTTCTAAATGGAATAGTAAATGGACTGTACTTACAGCACCTTTATATCTTGTCAAAATACTCAAAGTGCTTTACAACACAATCTGTGCCCTCATTTACCCATTCATACAGCACTCTACTAGATCTCTACAAAGAATAATCAAAGTCAAAGTTTCTTTATTTGTCCTACGCACCACATGTGGTGCATGTGGTGGAACAAAATTATGTACACAGGGTCATCTGACAAAAGTATAAAATGTAAAAGAAAAACAGAAATAGGATCTAAGATATGAAATAAGAAATCAGAGCTTTATCACATTCATACACCAATGGGACACACAATGAGAGGTTCAGTGTCTTGCCCAGGGACATTTCAGCATGTGACTTCTGGTGGAGTTGAACCCCCGACTTAGAGTTGCAATTTCTGGCCCAAGCCAGTGCCCGACCCAACCCGACCTGAAGTTGGGGCCAGATTGGGACAAAATTAGGTGCTTGATGGGTGGGCAAGCTCGGGCTCAGGCATTTGATGAAGTTTTAATTACATGTGACCCCACCTTCCCTTTGCTCTTATCACACACCTGAGGATTTGTAATTGATCCACAAGAAGCAACATAATGGAGCTGGAAAGTATTAAACAAAAGCTAAAACCGGGAGAAACTCGACAAAGCCAGCACTGTGAAACTTGCTATATGTGTCAGGTGCACGCTCAGGTCTGACCGGCCGGTTGAAATAGGTAAAAAATGTTGTGTTAAGCTTCAGATGGACAACTGGATCATCGGCTGTTCGTGTCCCGCTTTGCACCCTGCTCTTATCTGTGGGGAAGGAAGTTACAGCATCTGAAGTTACAAAAGCCGAAGCGAGCAGCACGTTCAATGAAAATAGCCCTGTTCTACTTTGTATATTTTTCCAAATAATTTTGCTCTAAAATATTTTTGTTCATCTGAATGATGTGGAAAGAGATGTCTGGGCCTCCATGCTCAAGCTGCTGCCCTGCAACCCGACTTCGGAATAATAGGATGATGGATGGATGGATGGATGGATGGATGGATGGATGGATGGATGGATGGATGGATGGATGGATGGATGGATGGTTGCCTATCTTTAGAGTTGATTTTTTTAGGCTATTCTTTTTGTATGTTAATATCCATTTGATGGATTGTTAACAAACAAGAATTCTTAAATCTTCCTTTTTTGAAATATATTTTTAAAACTATTGTGTCAAACTGATTTGCTTACAAAAGCAGTAAAAGCTTAATTTAAAAAAAATGTTGTTGTTGTTTTTCTTTGGGTTTGGGCTTCTAATTACAGTTTATTACCGGTATTCAGATTAGACTAAAAAAAAAAAGCCCTATGAACTCGGGCCGTGCCGGGTTGGATTTTTGGGGCCCAAATGCAACTCTACCCCAACTCTCCCATTGGAGGACGACTGCTCTAATCACTCAACCGCAGCTGTCGTCCTAAAAGTAAAAAGAAAAATATTCAGATAATGGCAAATAAAAATAAAACAGACCACATATAATGCAATCAAGTTTTATTTTTAAGGCACAAGTACGTGCTTACAGCATATGTATTATTAATATATTATATTTGTTTATTGTTCTTCATGAGTATTATTTGTATAATATACCTAATTTGTTGCACCAACTGTAAATTCCACTAACAAAAAGATCATTCTCTTGTATTATTTGTGTTTTTATCTCTATATGTAAGTCTACATGCTGTTTACTAATGTTCACACATTGCATGTATAACGATGTAAAGTCAGAAACATTAAAGTACTTTGCATATTTTTTTTAAGTTTTTATGCATGACTTGAATTTTTTTTTTGCTACAGTAAAATGTAATTTTAACTACCAATGTTTCATAGCTACAGTTTGAAGATTGACATTTTACATCCAAATTGTGATAATTTGCTTTTTTTAATGGTGCATGGATTCTTGTATGTGTTCACATTTAAATAAACAGCTTAAGTAATGACTTACTGCAACATTCAAATGAACAGTAAATATTAAATGAATTAATTAAATTATATTTGATTTAACTGAATTCAGTTTATTTATATAGTTTCAAGTCATAACAGAAAATGTCTCAGGGCACTGTACTGTCATGTTTCTGCCCCTCCTGTTATGTTTTCTGTTCCCCTGCCTTAGTTTATGTCTTCATGCTTTGTTTTTCTAATGCTCATGCTCAAGCTCTGCTTCTGTCACCCTGCACCATGCCCACCTGCTCCACCACAGTAATCATCCTTCATCCAATGCACCTGTTCTACTTCCTACTTAAGCCTCAACTTCTCACTCACTTGTTGCCAGATTATCAAACTCATTGTGATAGTAGGTGTCCAGCATCCATGCCATAGTCTTGACTACCTGTCTTGTTTGGACCCCACGCCAGTCTCCTGGATTCTTCACCTTGTCTGGCCCTTGCCTGATTAGGATTCTGCTTTCTGACCACAGTACCGACTCTGCTTATTGTCATCATGACTACACCTTTCGGATCACATTTTGGATGTGGCTTTGGATTTCTGCTCAGTGGTTCTTAACCCCTGCTTGCTCTACTGGACTTCGCCCCTGGACAACCCTTAAAACTACATTCTGCGTAATCCTCTCTCTCTGCTGCAGCCTGCTCATACCATATGACGTCAGCCTCACCATCTCTGTGAAGGAGTCCCTCTCTTACTCAACTGTGAAGGTTAGTGACTGCCATTATAAACCCCTGAACCATCCATCCAATATCTTCTGCTTATTCCAAAGTCGAGTCATAGGGGCAGCAGCTTGAGCAGGGAAGCCCAGACATCTCTTTCCCCAGCCACCTCTTCCAGCTCTTCTGGAAGGATTCTAAGGCATTCCCAGGCCAACCGAAAGACATAGTATCTCCATTGTTTCCTGGGTCTTCCCCGGGGTCTCCTCCCAGTCGGACATGTCTGAAGCACCTTCCTAGGGAGGCGCCCAGGGGGCATCCTTACCAGTTTATCAAAAAGGAAAGTCTTAAACCCAGTCTTAAAACTGGACAATATGTCAGCCTCACGGACAAAAACTGGAAGTTGCTTCCACAAGAGAAGGGCCTGATAACTGAAAGATCTTCTTCCCATTCTGCTTTTGAAAACTCTAGAAACTGCAAGTAAACCTGCAATCTGAGAGCAAAGTCCTCTGTTAGGAAAATATGGAGCAATAACTTTACCACTTGCTCTTGCCAAAATCGGACTCTTTTCCCATCCCCTCCCTCTTCGCTTTGCTTTACTGCTCTGTCTGTCAGTGAAACTGCTTTTGAGCCTCTCTTGTATATCTTCTGAACCATAATTATGGACTTGTTTTGATCAGTTGGTCCCTCACCTCAATTTACAACATTTCTTCGAAGAGAAGACAGGCTTTAGGTGAGTCGATTTGCCCTGTTGGCACGCACGCAGCTGGATATTTCATTGACTTGGAAAACTTGATGATGTGTCTATCTCTGCTGCCATTTGTGGATTTTAAGGACACATATTTATTTGAATTTACGATAACTGGTTCCTGCTTTTTGGATTCGGCTGGTTGCTAGTTTTATCAACAATCAAGAAATTTGTCTGCAGCAAATTTGGACCCAATCACGCTGCTTGCCTTTATGGTGGCTTGGTTCATGTCTCAAGTACCCAGACTCAAATGTTTTGGGCAGAATGGATCAGATCTTGGGGATTTTACTCAGGCACGTTCCATCGGTGTGGCCATGTAATTTGAACATTTCGGAACCGAGTGGACCAACACAGACTCGAGGTAGATGTCATTAAGTTCAGCCTGTCCCCAAAACAACTGTGTTTATCTGAATTTGGCTCTCTTGGCTGACCTTGAAGGTCATCTTATCTGAATTTGCCTGGAGAACATGTAATCTGATGCTCACCACCCCCTCCCTGAGGAATTTCCAACTGATAACCAGAGGAAACCAGCTGAATAAACTTTGTGTCATCGTTTCAGGACTCTTGGATTCTCATAGACATTTTTCTTGGCCATTCCTCGACATACCTCGAGAATGTTTATGGCTCTCACCGGAGGACACTGGCTGATTATTACATCCTTATCTGAACTCTTACAATGCCCTCGAGAGCATCTATGAACATTGCTCACCGCTCTCATCGTCTCACCCCCTCTGCAGAATGTCTATGTCACTATGTGCTTGTTTGTGCAAGGTGTTTTTTAATATCAGAGTTTTTTCTTCTCAGACAGGAAAAAAAAATAGTCTGATAGGAATTTTTTCGCTTCCAATTCCTACATGTGTCCAGGTTGCCACAACCTATTGGAGTCAACACTCCCAGTCTGTTAGAAAATATCTTCTGAGCCACTGGACTGCTTTTAACTAAACTTTTAGAAGTAATGACTGCAAGTACACCTACCATTGGTTAACTTTTAGTCAACTTGATTCATGATTGTAAATGTAGCCAGATATTATAACTTTTAACCTTTATTTAATTAGGCAAATGGTAAATGAACTGTACTTATATAGTGCCTTTCTATCTGATCAAGATACTCAAAGCGCTTTACACTACAATCTGTGTCCTCATTGACCCATTCATACAGCACTCTACTTGATCTCTACAAAGCTAATTGAACAAAT